CAGGAGGATTTTCCTTTCTGATCCAGTCTAATTGGTGCTCTATAAGCTTCTTGTATGTTTATTGGCATCACATTTTTAGCATGGGAAATTTTCTTCTATGATTTTGTTGAGAATATTTTCTGGGCCTTGCAGCTCTTCAACTTCTTTTATAAATATTATTCAGTTAGGACTTTTCATGGTATCTCAGATTTCCTGGATGTTTTGTATCAGGAATTTTTTAGATTTAACAGGGTTTTTTTTGTTTGGTTTTTTTGGGTTTTTTTTTTTTTTTGCCTGATGTATCAATTTCTTCTAATGTATCTTCTACATCTGAGATTATATCTTCTGACTCCTATATTCTGTTGGTGATGCTCTATAAGCTTCTATTTCTGTTCCTGTTTTCTTTCCTAGGTTTTCTATCTCCAGGATTCCCTCAGTTTTAGGATATTCTTTTTTTGCTTCTATTTCCAGGTATATAACAGGCTGGGCTACCCCAAGCAGGAGATTCAGAAACTGGTTGGCAGTACCACACCCAGTTTATGGGGGATCTGAAATCTAGCAAAAGGCTTTGGATAACCTAAAACTTTCTTTATTGACTGAGGTACAACCCCAGCCTTGCACCCATTTTCTAAATCTTAGAAAACAATATCACTGGTCACAAATGCAAAATATGGAAGAATCAATTAACTGTTGCTTAAGATTCCTGTTACATTAAATAATTTTATTGAATATATAATATTCAACTTGGTAATCAGAACATCTGTTTCCTAACATAAACAAATATTATTATAACAAGAATAGTGACAAAAGGAAGTTGAAATCCATTCCCCCAATATTTAATTCCTTCTAAGATACTTTAATTTCAAATAAGTTCCATCAAACGAGAATGTCTTTGAAAAATCAAAGCCTGATATTTTCTTTCATAAGTAATAAAAAAATAATCATTTTGAAAAGACATTTTTTGTCCAGATTCATTACAGAAAAGAAATTGTAAGTCCTTATTACAATGGCTTAAAATCTGTAGTGAAATAATAAAGGAGTTTTTTTAATACTATGTGTTTTGCAATTGTATCTAGACAAGTTTCTTCACAGCTGAAAACAAATGTTTGTATGGAAATGTGAAACTCAGAGGAAAAATATCAAATAATTTAGATAAAGCTATGAAATAATCAATCAGAAATTAAATGTGATAAAAAAAAGCAGGTTACATTTGCCCCAAATAAACAAGGCAAAGAAGGTTCCCAACTCCCTAACCATTCAACCTGTCACCAGAAGCATTAGCTAATACAATTGGAAAGTAAAATCAACCATGTGTATTTATTGTATAAAGAGTAATTAAATTTATTCTTAGTTGCATATTGCCTGATAATCATCTGAAATCTGAGAATCAATGAAAGAACAAAGTCACAAAGGAAGCAACTCTGAAATGCTAGTAAACTGTGGCTTCATACTTTCAATGACTTTAAAAGTTGAGAAAATATGTGTAGTTAATCTTGGAGTAAATATAGCCAATTTAATTAGAAAGTAAAATTTTAACACATCTAAATATATACTGAAAATTGAGGAGAGGCCATATCTGTCAGAAACCCATCCTCCAACACCAACAGGCATTACCTGTGAACACAGCAGCTGAACAGGACAGTAAAATAAGCAACATCATTAGAGATGATGCAGCCATCAAATATCTGAAAATATAGAGGAAAAACAGAAACCAAGAAACCAAATTCCCATCCAACAAAGACAAACAGAGAAATCAGCTCCAATATCTATAATACCCTAAACCCAGATGCCTAGACATCAGTGTACAATCAGTGACAGCCAGAGCAATATGTCTCTAATAGAGTTCAGTTATTCTACCACATAAGATCCTGATTATTCCAACATACCTGAAGCACGAGAAAAAGACCTTAAAATCAAATGTATCAAGATGATAGAGGTCCTTAAAGAGGAACGTGATGAATCCTCTCAAGAAATCCATGAAAACACAAAGTACTAAGAAAGTAAATAAATCTCTCAAAGCAAGCCAGGAAAACACAGATAAACAACTGGAAGAAATTACAAAGTCTGTTTTAAAAAGCCAAGAAAACATTAACAAAAAGTTGAAGAAAAATGAATAAAACTGTTCAGGACCTGAAAATAGATGCAGTAAAGAAAAGTCAAACTGATGGAATTATGGAAGAAAAAATTTATAAATGAGAACAGGAACCACAGAGGTAAAATTCACCAACAGAACACAAGAGCTAGAAGGCAGATGGAAGGGAGATGGAAGAGACATTCAGGTATTGAAGATATTGTATAAGAAGTAGATATATCTGTTACAGAAATGTTAAAACTAAAAAATTCCTGGTATGAAACATACAGGAAATCTGGGAGAGTATACAATAATTAACGTAAGAGTAATGTAAGTAGAGGAAGATGAAAAAATCCAGCTTGATGGCTCAGAATATATTTTCAACTAAATCTAGAAGAAAATTTTCCGAACATAAAGGACAAGATTCCTATAAGGGCACAAAATTCATATAGAATAACAAATAAATTAGATCACAATGAAAGTCCCCTCCTCACATAATAATCAAAAGAGTAATTATATATCAAAGAACGAATATTGCAAGATGCAAGGGGGAAAAGCCACTAATATATAATGGCAAGCCTATCAAATTGACACCTGACTTCTCAATCAAGTTTCTAAAGGCCAGAAGGGCCTAGAAAAATAGATATGCTGCAGACTCAAAGAAACCACAAATGCCAGGATAGACTACAATATTCAGGAAAATTTTATTCACCATATATGGAAAACAAATTCCATAATCAGGTCCAATTTAAACAATATCTACTTAAAAATCCAATCCTATAGAAAGTTATAAAAGGGAAACCAACTTAAGGAGGTTAACTACACCCATGAAAGCACAGAAAATAAATAATATCACACTAGAAAAATTCAAAGAAGTGAAGCAAACACACACACATACACACACAAACACACACACGCAAACACACACACACACACACACACACACTCATGCATGGATGAGCACAGGCATGTATACCACCAACACCAGCAGCAGCAGCAACAATATAACAGGGATCAACAATCATTGGTCATTGATATCTCTCAATATCAATGGTCTCAATTCCTTGGAAAAGAAGAAACAGACTGAAAGAATGGCTGTAAAATCAGAATTCATCCTTTTATGCTTCCAAGAATCATACCTCAACATCAAGGATAGACATTATTTCAAGGGAAAGCTTTGAAAAAAGATATGCCAAGCAAATAAACCAAAGATGGAAATTGGTTAGCTATTTTAATATCCAACAAAATAGACTTTAAACTAAAATTAATCAAAAAGATGATAAAATATATGACATATTCACCAAAGGAAAAATAAAGCAATCTGATGTTTCAGTTCTTCATATCTATCCCCCAAACACAAGAATTCCCAAGTTTGAAACAAAGAAACAAACATCCCACAATGACAGTTTAAATCACTTAAATCACATATTGACCCTCAGGCACAGACAGTGAAAGATTTTAATATCCTCTGGAAGGCAACTATAGACACCACTATACCACCAAGACCTCAGTGGGAGGGGAAGTACCTAGCCTCTCAGAGCCTTGAAGTGCTAGGGTTGGAGATACTCCAGGGTTCCCACCCACTCAGAGGAAAAGGAAAAGGTAAATAGAGGAAGAATTGTAGGAGAGGTGACGAGGATGAAGGCAGTGAGCAGGATATAAAGTGAATAAGTAAGAAATAGTTAAAGTAAATTAAACTTAAAAAATTTCAATATTCCACTTTCAACCATGAGCAGGTCACTCAGACACACAATAAACACAGAAATATTTGAGTTAAAAGATGTTATAAAACAAATAATCATAACAGATAACCACAGAAAATTTTACCCAAACACAAACCTTCTTAGATACTCAAACACAAAGCAAGTTTTAGAGGTCACAGAAAAATTGGAATATTGCATCCTATCAGACACCAATAGATTAAAGCTGGATATCAACAACAAAAACAAAAGAAAGATAACAAACTTACAGAAATTGAAATAGTCTGTCATGAATTGAAAATCACTCATGACCAAAAATACAGATAGAAAAGGAAAATTAAAACATTCTAAATTCAGTGAAAATATACAGCATACATCCTCCTATCCAGATTCACTACATTTCTGTCTCTAACTAGAAAACAAATCTTAAGGGAATATAATATAATATAATATAATATAATATAATATAATATAATATAATATAATATAATATAATATAATTAATATAATATAGTATAGTATAATACACTTTGCAAAACAAATGAACAGAAGGAAGAGAAGGCACAACAGAGATATACTTTTTCACACACACACTGGAGTCCCATTAAAATAATAAACTGTAAGATAGATATTCAATGAACCTTGTATAGACCCATAGAGGTCCTAACAGGTTGCCCAAAGCTTTGTAATTTCATATGTGGTTTGATTATGGGAATAGATACAGCCTTGTTTTCTTGGTGTCCTCTACTTCTCTGGCTCTACAACTCTTTCAGCCATCTCTTCTGCAGGGTTCCCTGAATCCTGCGGGGTGGGATTTGATGGAAGAATCCCATCCTAAGCTGAGTGTTCTAAGGTCTCTTATTCTCTGCATAATATCTTGGTGTGGGTCTCTGTACTTTTCTCATATGACGCAAGAGGAGGCTTCTCTGATGATGACTGGGCATAGGCATATATTCCATTAGGAGTTATTTTATAGTCATGAATTTGTTCCTTTATTATTTAATAACAGTAATAGTTGGTTTTAACCTAGGCTTCTCTGATATCTAGCCTCAGATTCTTTGTCTGAACCTAAAGTAAAATCTAGGTTACTCTTATAAGTTTTGTGCCAGTATCACACTAGTATAACTGGCAAGGCAGGATACCAAAGAAAATTGAAAGGCTTATGGCTGGGTTGGTGTGTATGTTTCTTTTTCATACATAGAGAATGCCTTCATCTACAAAAGACACTAGAACATAGGAGTGAAGGCTCAATGGAGGAGCAGCTGGACTTCTCCATGTTCAATGAGATGTGTAGTGTTGCAATAAGACTTTGTGGTAAGTTTATAGAAAGAAACCCATAGTTTTTGACAACATCCTTTATTTGGGGATTCATATATGACTCCTTTAGCCAACAACTCAATTATAAATGATCCAGTACTGTTACTGGAAGCTCTAACTGGTGACAAGAAAGTTCTCAATCTCCTCCATTATTTAGACTTTTCACTTACAGCCCCTTATTATGTATATATTTTAGCAAGCTTCTACTGTACTCGTTTTTCATACTACCCTTCAAATGGCTCCTAACTTTAGCTGTCTCTCCCTGTTTTCTATCCTTCATCCCCCTCTGCTTCCCCACAACTTGGTTTCCTCCTTTGTTTGTAGTTTTATAGATTGAAACTTGGTTTATCATTGAACTAACAGTAACATTCACATATATGTGACTATGTACCATGTTTGTCTTTCTTTTTCTAGTTCTATACATTTTACATGTAAATTTTATAATTTTGTTTTGTTAATGGCTGAGTAATACTCCAGTGTGTAAACGTACTGTATTTTTAAGTTCATTTTTTTGTTGAGAGACATCAAGGTTGCTTTCAATTTTTGGCTATTATGAATAGGGAACCAATGAAAATTGCTGGCCATGAAACACTGTAGCAAGCTAAAGTATGTGTAGTATGCAACTTTTAAAAAAAATCCACAGCTAGCCCTGCAGAAAACTATTAAGATCACTATATCTGTCATCTACTGTGTTTGTTTCCTTTATCTTTTTTATCACTGGGCAAAAGATCCATATAAGATACGATAAATAGAAACAGAAGATAATGAAATAAATGAGGAAATGTCTTGGCTCATTCCTGGAAGATTCCCATCTGTCCTCCAAAAGTACATAAATACACTTGTACATTCTTAGTCTCTTTCTCTCTTTGTGATGCTTCCTATAATACATTTGTAGTGTTTATACTCCCTGAAATTGAGAAGTTGATTTACAAACAAAGACTCCTACTTCTCTATCATCTTGCCACTGCATAAAGATGACTCTGTCAATGGTTTTATTTAGTGGTAGGGGAAGGAATCCAGAACTGTTCTCAGTTACAAACAGAGCTTCAGTGAGAAATTCAATGCCTGTTACATATAATTCCAGAAGGGTAGAAGATTACTACTCATCAGGAAAAAAAGGACCTTGTAGGCTTAGGTTTTTCAAAACCTACTTTAATAAGGGTTCTCAAATGTCTCAAGGCCCCACCCCCTTCTAGGGGAGAAAAAAATGGTAAATAAGACAAAAGTATATGGACCAATATTGAAGTAGTTCTTTTAGCAGATTCCAATCTCTGTTTGTCATGACACCAGAAGTCCAGTTTAAAAGTATCACCAAAAATGAATCAGCAATGGGCTCATGATCGAGCAGAAACTGCCGGGCTTCTGCAGAATCAGCACAAGTCAGCAGGAGCAACGAGGTCCAGTTCTCTACCTAGAGTGCTCTGCCATAACTCTCACAATGAAGTGAAGATCAACAAAGACTCAGACCAACAAAATGTTGCACAGGCTTATTCAAGTGTGCTATCACTATCCATTGAGACCTACTTATACCCTCTACAAACATCACAAGTTCTCTCACCAGTCTTGCCTCAGCAAAACACCATGAGAGTCTGCATGACATGACACTACCATAAATTTTCACTTCAAGAATTTCTTTAAATTACAAGAGGGTAGGAATGAGATAATGGGAATGCACATCTCAAAATATACATCCAGAGCCAGAGACCATTTCCTTCTGGTGAAAAAGGAAGCCAACTGTGTTTGCCAAGGTGTAGCGGAAATCAATGTTTTCCTAGCATGTGTATATGTCTACCATGTGTGTGGCTGTGCCCATGTAGAAGAAAAGGATGCTAATCCTGAAATGATTTTCTCTAACTAAATATATTTTATAGTGTGTGTATGTGTACATAAATACTAAAGAAAAGTACTTTTCCTTTATATAATATGTAAAATATCTAGGGATATTTAGAAAGCAGTAAAAAACTCTAAATTTATTTTAATATCAGGCAAAATACTTCTAAGTATTACATAAGTCTCTTAATATATATTTTAACATGGTAATGCTCCTCAACACTAAATACAAGTGAATATTTTGATGAATCTTAATTTACCACTTAAATGTTTTTATAAATTATTTTGCTTTGTTCAGTTTATATTCGCTGTCTGTCTTTGTCACAGGAATAAACAGTCATAGTGCATGTTTTGTTTTTTTTTTTTTTTTGATTTTTCCACTAGAATGTCTGGTTCTTTGAAGTTGCAGTAGATTGGATGATTTGTTTTCAAAAAATGCTTTGTGTCTGAAGATGAAAGTTACTGTTCTCTGCAATATTTTCATGCTGGAATGCAATTTCACTGCTATTGCATTTAGTTTTTAAAAAACTTGAGAAGATAAACCATGATGTTCCTTTAAAAATGGAATACAGGGTGCTATCAAATGCAAAGGTCTTTTTTCCTAAGTATTCATATTATTCTAATAATTTTAGTTACAATAATAGTGTCCCATTAGTAAAGATGCAGTGTTTCTTCATTCTAGAAAAGGAAAAAGTTCTTATGGAACTTACAAGTGCTATAAAGAAAATACATGTGTATTTTATATATTTTATGCTACATTTACTAACATATATCATACACCAACACAGAGATTTTTATATTGAGATCATTGGTTTGGATATACATGTAAGCCTGCTTTACTATCATTCCATGTGCTAGTACCATAACTAAGTATTAATAGCACCAATGCACACATGAGTGATATTTTCAAACATGTATGCACAGTAAAATAGTACTTTTAAGATGTTTTGAAAATTAATAATGATATAGTGTACTTGTAAAAATGCTTACCTAGTGTACACATAGCCCCAGATTCTGTAAGCACCACTGTATAAAATCTGGAGTGGTGTGAATAAATAACCATATTACTTAGGAAGTGGAGATGGAGAAATAGGAAGGTGAAGAAGGTTATATAAACTCAGCTACATATGGAGATCCATGTCAGCCTGAGCTACACAGCACTTTCTCATAAACAAACAATTCAAAAATACAGTTGGAGAGATGGCTCAACATTTAAGAAATATTTGCTCCACAGATGGTCCCAAAAACCAATGTTTACCACTCAAAAACTCTAGATGATTTGTAGCTCTAGCTCTGGGGAATTCATTGCCCTCTTCTGGCTTCCATGGCACCAGCATTCATTAAGTATGTATCCATACAGATACATACATAAAAGTAAAATCAATCTTTAAAAATGAAAACATTACAGAGAATCACATCTAATCAAAAGGCAAAAATCAACTGAGAATAGAGTGCATGGACCTAGTGAATATATCTACTTCACAATTCCTGTGTATAAAGCTCGGGGATCATCACAAAAGAGGAAGCAGACTGTAAGAGGTCAAGAACCACAAAGTTCCCTGTGAGACTGTTTCTCTTGGAAATGATGGAAAAGCTTCAGGCATGATACGACAACAACTTCTGAGGAATGAAAATATTAGTAAATATACTATCATGAATGCAAAACTCTTACAGGCCACAGGCATAAGCAGGATGAAAGTAGTGGTTCTCAACCTTCCTAATGCTGTGACTCTTTAATACTTGTAGTGAAACCCAACCCTAAACTTATTTTTATTTTGCTTCTTCCTAGTTGTGATTTTGCTACTGTTATGAATCATAATGTAAATGCTTGTATTTTTTTATTGTCTTTGGTGACCCTGTCAAAGGGTCATTTTATCCCACAAAAGAGTAGCAGCCAACAGAATGAGAACCACTGGACTAAAGGTAACTAAGGTCTGCTAAAAGAAAGGAGGGCAGTCATTCCCAAGTATTAGCCCCCTAATTGGTCATCCTATTCTAAATTATCAGTCCTGAAATCATATACAAATAAGCAATACTTAACAGACTCAGCACCTTGTATTCATGTAGTTATGCTTTTGTACATAGATTTAACAGTAACAAAGAAAACAGGCCATAGATTTGAAAGAGCATAAGTGAAGAATATATGAAAGGGTTGGAAGAAGGAAAGAGACGATGGAATGATGTAATCATATTTTAACTTAAGAACACATATAAAAATAAGATTTTAGAGTTAACAAAACTGAATATCTATCTAAAACAGAGCTTGTAAAAATGAAATGTACATATAAAGATACATATCTTTCTGAATAAAATATAATCGCAGATTGAATCTTATGGTTCGCAATTCCTTTTAATCATACACAATGTGTCAAATAAATTTGAATAACTTATTGAGACATTTTCTTCCAAGGACAGTATATATTGCTAAATTGGAGTCAACTGATCCCATTGGAAGTCAGAAGTTTTCTACTATCAAAGTTTGTTTGCCTCTTCTCCTGATAACACCAGTTTTAAGAAGGAGGAAAAGGAGGACCAGGAAGAGGACCAGGAGGAAGAGGAGGAGGATGAAGAAGAGGAAGAGGAGAAGTACAGGAAAACAAAACTAAGACAAACAAGCCAAAGCTGAATGAAATCATGAATGAAATGTGGCAAGAAAACTCTCCGCTACAGGTGCTAGAAACAGCATTTCACCAGCGGTAGAGCAGGAGCTTAAGGTTAAATCAGTGGAGAAGGAAGGTAAGAAACAGTGATGTAAGTGCTGCCTTCAGAAATAATAAACATGAATTCACTTTACAAATTTAGGAATTCTCCGCTCCACACTCCTGTGATGCTGAAGTCTGCTGGAGCAGTGTAGCTGAGCAATAGAATATTATGGTACAGCTTCTCATGGGCTCCTAGCTCTCCATGAATACTCACACAGACACCACCAAATACAAAAGTCTACAAGTAAAACCCAAAGGTCCCAAGAAACCCAAAGAGTATTGTTACTAATTTGGGATTTAAAACTGAGATAACATGGAAATAGAAACAAAAAAAAATCAGAAAGTATTTTCCAGAAGATAGAGATTCCAGAGATGCCAAAAAGATGCAGCTGAAAAGTGACAGCTAGCCTATGATAGAAAAGCCACAATCAACTGAAGCTTTGACCAAAGACCAAAGTACCTCAAACATCTTTCTTCTTCAAATGACAGATTTTATTTATTCTTTTGAAATTTCATGTTTTACAATGTATTTAGATCAGATTCTCCTATTATTAACTATATCTTTCCAAGTACTCCTACAATATTCTATTCCGACTTTCTCCCAAATCCATGTCCTTCTTTTATGCTGTTGTTAATAACCTCCTGAATACAATTAGTGCCAGCTGTGCAAAATAGTATATGTATCCATCTACTGGGAGGTCAACAGATCTTTTAAAAAGTTAATACAACAGAGGAAAAAGTCCTAAGATCTGTATCTTCAGATCAGCATACATCTACAAAAGAGACTACATGGCTCCCTTCAGTAATCTTTAATTTCCTTAAAGATTTGTGGTAGGAGTTGCTTGTAAGCTTTCTCTTTAGCATTTGGAGAGACATGTCAATTATCTGATCACATAAAAACTTTTTTATAATTTTCCAATATTCTAGGACTTCACTGAGATTAAGATGAGATGTTTGTATTAGCTTATGTCTGCACTTTCAGCAGGCTGCATATTGTTCCTGTCAGTATACAATTTGGGTGATAATAGTTATACTAAATATAATTTATTGTGGATATATTCACCTGTAGAAAATTATTTGATCACATGATGAGCTATTTTCTAGCATTTAATTCATTTTGACACATTAGGCATCCATTCAACTATACTGTTTGCCAATTACCATACCAATGGCTAAATATCCTAATCATTTCCTCATAGTGCCTCACTACACCTAACACCTACTCTTGGCTAGTAGAAGAATTTCACATTCAATAGGCCTAAGCTAAACTTGAAGAACCTTTTCTTTGATTACAGATTCCTGTGACTCTGAGTTTTTAGAGTGTTCCAAGAAATCAAGATGTGAAAAGAGGCAGGAATATTCTGTAATTTTATCCAGAGTCTTGGGCCCTTTTCAATCTCCTGAAGCCTCTCCAGGTCCGACAGGAGCTCATTTTCGGTCTCAAACACAGAAGAACTGATTACTTTGTCTGTCTATGCTATTGTTCACTTTGATTGATTCCAAGTAAGTTCATACCATTTGTAACAAGGAGCAGTCTGGTAGCTTTTCCAATATGACCCAAAAGTACCAGAGAGCAGTGATTATCATCCAATTCAGACAAAAGAACATGATTACTGGTCAAGCTTTCTGCACTTAGGAAGAAATTCATTCTCTCTGGTCCACATCTCCTTAAATCAGAAAGAACACAAGATTAATATCTGACAGCATCTCTTCTCTAGAGTCAAACCAATTAGCTCTATCTCATTACTGAGCTTGTGGATACGGTGATCAGCTTCCTATTTCAAGGTTTTCATAGTTTCTCATGTACAAAGTGGATTAAATGTTAAAAAAAATCCTCATAACCATTTGTTGTGATATGATTACTCTTTCTCTTGTTAATGATAATTAGCATAAGCTCATACACAATTTGGTGAAAGAATATCAGTATTAGTTTAATAAGATGTACATAAGTATATTATAGTTGCTATTATTAAAAGAATATCAAACAAACTATTCAATTTTCAAATTTGTTCAAACATCTAATTCTATATGCCAAACCATCTGATGCATCATTTATATTCTAATTAATTTTGACTTGGTTTTCTAAAATCACCTAAACAAATACTTTCCCTAATTTTTTTTTTATTGGATGATTTATTTACATTTCCTATGTTGTCCCCTTACCCCATCCCCCACCACCCCCTC